AAGAAGAAGAAGAAGAAGAAGAAGAAGAAGAAATTGGACGAAGAAGAAGAGGAAGAAGAGGAGATTGGATTTATACCCTGCCCTTCACTCGGAGTCTCAGAGGGGCTTACCGTCTCCTTTCCCTTCCCCTCCCCACAACAGACACCCTGTGAGGTAGGTGGGGCTGAGAGAGCTCTTCTGAGAACTGCTCTGAGAGAACTTGTGACTGGCCCAAGGTCACGCCAGCAGCTGCATGTGGAGGAGTGGGGAATCAAACCCAGTTCTCCCAGATTAAAGTCCGTACACTTAACCAGTGCACCAAACTGGCCCTTCACTACCCGAAGGAGTCTCAGAGCGGCTTACAATCTCCTTTCCCCTCCCCACAACGGACACCCTGGGAGGTCGGTGGGGCTGAGAGAGCTCTTTCGAGAACTGCTCCTGAGAGAACGGCTCTGAAATAACTTGTAACTGACCCAAGCAGCTTGTGGGAAATCGCTCCAAGGCTTATTTAGGTAAAAGCTCTCTCTGAGGGCAGATCTGCGTGTTTCTCCCCCCACCCAAGCAATGGAAAGAGTCCAGTGGCACCTTTAAGACCAAGGCTTATTTAGGTAAAAGCTCTCTCTGAGGGCAGATCTGCGTGTTTCTCCCCCCACCCAAGCAATGGAAAGAGTCCAGTGGCACCTTTAAGACCAAGGCTTATTTAGGTAAAAGCTCTCTCTGAGGGCAGATCTGCGTGTTTCTCCCCCCACCCAAGCAATGGAAAGAGTCCAGTGGCACCTTTAAGACCAAGGCTTATTTAGGTAAAAGCTCTCTCTGAGGGCAGATCTGCGTGTTTCTCCCCCCACCCAAGCAATGGAAAGAGTCCAGTGGCACCTTTAAGACCAAGGCTTATTTAGGTAAAAGCTCTCTCTGAGGGCAGATCTGCGTGTTTCTCCCCCCACCCAAGCAATGGAAAGAGTCCAGTGGCACCTTTAAGACCAAGGCTTATTTAGGTAAAAGCTCTCTCTGAGGGCAGATCTGCGTGTTTCTCCCCCCACCCAAGCAATGGAAAGAGTCCAGTGGCACCTTTAAGACCAAGGCTTATTTAGGTAAAAGCTCTCTCTGAGGGCAGATCTGCGTGTACAGTGGGGCAAAGGGAAGAGCAGCTTGTGGAAATCAGTCTTGGTCTTAAAGATGCCACTGGACTCTTTGCCTTGCTACCTGGGTTGGGAGGGGGACACACAGGCTTATCTGCTTATGAGAGCCAGAAATGCCAGTTGACTTGCCGAGGCTCCATTGAAATACATTACAGCTCAAGAAGAGTTGCAAAGCAAATGTGGAGTGGATTTTCCATTAAGGTCTCTGGTCTCAAATACATTAGTGTGGGACTGGAATGACAGGCCCCACAGTGGAATGATAGCCCTTGGTGGAATACCCAATGCTCTGCAACTGGAATTGCAAAACATAGCTTGGAATTAAACTTTTTACATTTTTATTAACATTTCTTTAAGGTGTTTGGCTATCACAAATCAGCTCCACCTCAGTAATTGTCCTCCATGTCATCTCCTCAGTTCTCTTACATATTCATGAGGTCATCCCTTCCATAGTCTCTTTGAAAAATCCCAACCCATACTCTAACTAAGGGGTCTCCAACCTTTTTCAGCCTGCCGCACCTTTGTAATTCGACACAGTGTGGTGGGTGCAGCCACAAAATGACCGCTGCAAGGCAGAGCAGTCAGTGGTCAATGAAGTGGGCAAAAGTGTGCAAGTGTGCAGGGCGATTTTGCACTAGAGCTGCCTCGCGGCGCCGTTCTCCCCGACACAAACATGTCAATTTCACACCTGAAGTCGCGGGGCTGCATTTTGACTCGCGACTTCACCCAATTTCCTCCGCAGTTTCGTGATCCTGGTTTTTGATGTCTTCTTGGTGCTTGGGGGAGAAACAGTGGGAGGGCTTCTGGAGTCGTGGCCCTGCTGGTGGACCTCCTGGTGGCCCCTGGGTTTTGGCCACTGTGTGACAGAGAGTGTTGGACTGGATGGGCCCCTGGCCTGATCTTATGTTCTTATAAGAATAGGGCCAGGGCTTTCTCTGTAAATGTGTCTCTCTGCATGGTGTGGAGGTGGCTCTCCTCTTTAGAGCTCTTAAAACACAGATGAAAATGCCCTCTTTTGGGGTTTTAAGATAAGGAGTATTCCTTGTGAGTAGCAGTGATCTGGGATTGTCAGGGGGAACTTTGTATTGGCTGCTGTCCATAGGAACCAACCTGGGCTCCTGCTAATGGGAAAATGAGAGCTTGTATGGATGATCGAGGTCTGCACGCCTCCTGTGTGTGGGAAATGTGTGCTGCACCTCCACTTCATCCTATTTATGCAAATTCCCCAAGAAGTAGGTCCAACGCATGTACAGCGGAGGTGAATCAAAGGTAGGAAATGCACTCAGATGCCTTTCTCAGAGCAGGCCAAGAGCTGTTGATTCAGGGAATATCCATTTCTTTAGTGTTAGCTATATTTTTGGTATAGGGATAGATTTGTATTGGGTGCTTCATTTTTTTTTTTTTTAATTTTGTGTTTTTGTAGACTCCAAGTCTTGAAATGAGTATAGCAAAGAAAGCAAAAACTGATAGTGTTTGTATCATTGAAAGCTCTGTTGTTGTGTTTTTCTTTTAAGACAAAAGATGTTAATATATGAGTTGTTTTTTCTAAACTAAACCTCAGTATTCAGGTTAAATTGCCGTGTTGGCACTTTGCGATACATATGTGGGTTTTGGGTTGCAGTTTGGGCACTCGGTCTCTAAAAGGTTCGCCATCACTGACCTAGAGCATCCTGTGTCATGGATGATGTGATCACATCACTACTGGTGCAGGCCAGACCTGATGTCACTGTGCTTCTGCTGTAGAGTTATTGCCCAAATACCAGAGCCAGTTTCCGCCAAAAGTGACGTCAAGAACAATGCTGGCCTAGGCCACCCCTTGCTTCTGGTAAGTTCCCACCACTGGTCGTGGGGGGGGGGGGACTTGGCGACCCTAGTTTCAGGTCTGTACAGGAGTGTTCAGCACTGCTGGCAGGTTAAAGCATGGGTAGACAAAAAGGGTATGCTCTGTAACTTGGGTATTGGCAAATGTCTCTAGAAAAGTCTTCAGTTGTTTAGAAGATGGTAAGGCAGGCCGCACGGTCAAAGCAATGGTATTCCCCGTAGTCATGTATGGCTGCGAGAGTTGGACTATAAGGAAGGCCGAGCGCCGGAGAATAGATTCTTTTGAACTATGGTGCTGGAGAAGACTCTTGAGTGGAAGGAGATCAAATCAGTTAATCCTAAAAGAAATCAACCCTGACTGTTCCCTGGAAGGCCAGATAATGAAACTGAAGCTCAAATACTTTGGCCACTCAATGAGAAGGGAGCACTCACTGGAGAAGACCCTGATGCTGGGAAAGATTGAAGGTCAAAGAAGAGGGGGACGGCAAAGGATGAGATGGTTAGACAGTGTCATAGATGCAACGAACATGAAGTTGAGCCAACTTCAGAGGATGGCGGAAGACAGGAAGGCCTGGCTTGATCTGGTCCATGGGGTTGCGAAGAGTCGGACTCGACTGTGCAACTGAAAAACTGTGCAACTGAAAAACAGCAACAACAACAAAGGCTGGCCGCAATTCTATCATACCGGTTTCTTCCAAACGTCAGCAGTGCCACATCAGAAATGCCTTTTCTTCTTCTTCACATTCTCCCTCACGTGCAGAAATGAGGGATCAGCTAGCGACGAGCACAAAATTTGTGGACCTGCGAGAGAAAGCGCGCTCACAGCTGTGCGTGGGCTATTATCTGCAATTATCCTGTTTGTGCATAATGTTCCCCATTCACAAACACGGGGATCTCTTTAATCAGTAGGATGCCAATTGGAATCATGTTTGCATTTTGCATGAGCAGTTAGCTTAATTGCACAAAATTGCGCACGTTCAATTACTGGGTGTCTTCCCCCCCCTTCTAATGAAGTCGCCAGTAATTCGGAACCTGCCTGTTAGGGACACTTATCCACAACAAAGAAACGTCTCTGTTACATTTGTGTCCCACTGTTTTCCCAAGGAGTGTGAGGGATATCTGTGGCCCTTCCCAGCATTATTAAAAAAAAAACCTCTAAGAGAGTTACTGGCCCAGGGTCATCCGGTAAGAATTTCCAGGGTAGCTTCAACTGGGGTAGGTCTCCCGTCTCCTAGTCCAGGGGTCCTCAATAGGGTGCTCGACAAGGGTTTTTAGAAAGTGGGTGGGACCCAAGAGTCTGGCTGCACCTCCTGCAGCAGCCATTTTGTGGTGGCCATTTTGTGGCTGCGCCCATTATACTGTGGCAGAATTCCAAAGGTCCCCCCAGGCGGAAGAAGACTGGGGACACCTGTCCTAGTCTAATCTGTACACCACACCGGATCTGAATATTTTTTTTATCTTGGAGTAGAAAAGCTTGGATATTCACAATGTACCTCAGTATGCAAAATGCATCATTTACGTACAAGTCTGTAAGTGTGATCCTCAAATTATGTCAAACTCTGCTTAGTTTTCCATAGTTGCGGAGAGGGAGGGAAATTCTTGCGGGGTGTGTGTGAATGGCTGAGTGTGTGAACCGCACTATCAACAGGCGTCGTAACTGTTCCTTAGGACACCTCCCTCCTTGAGGGACGACCTTGAAACCAAAGCTCTGCCAGCTTGCTTTTGTAGATAATGGGATAGTATGTTCCCAGGTGTATGGGGGGCTAGTAACACAAGTGCTAGGCAGGATGGCTGCGAAGTGTGATTGGTTATTCTGGGGGGGTGGCTTTTGCACTGTCTATATCTTCGGATTTTCCTGCCTGGACCTCAGTTCTGACACAGCATTGTTCTAGCCTGGATCATGATGATATCTCAATAAACAAATCACTGTCAAAGAGAGAATTGTTGGGAGTCTCTTGTCCAGGAGTCTGACAATTACCTTTTTTTTTCTGGCTGCATTTTGTTTAACTCTCTGCCTTTGAAGGGGTAGTGCTGCTGGATGAGGGTTCTCCTTTCCTTTCCCCGTAGTTTTGAGGAAGCCATGAAGAGGCAGCCCAAACTGGAAGCTCTGGACTCCCTTCCTGGCTACTATGCTGGAGCCGGACTCGTGGCAATAGGCGTTGTGTTTGTTCTCTCCAGTTTTCTCGCACTGGGCTTTGTCGGAACATTTCTGGGTAAGTCAAAGTTGGACGTGAATTTCTTCTGTAATAGGAAGGGGCCAAAGTCTTCCAAGACTGGTGTTTTCTTTGCGAGATCATTGTCCGATGCGGCATAGATCTGTACTGGTAAACTAGATGAAATTCCTCGCTTTAGGAGTACAAATGTAGGGAAACAGGAGGTGTTTGCAGCCCCTTTTATTTGCCAGAGAAATGTGGTGGGAAAGAGGACGTTTGCAAGGGAGAACTGGTGAGCAGTACGGGTGGATTCACCCTAACGCCAGCCACCAATTCTCCCCTGCGAATCCTCCCCCTGAGCAACTCTGGAAACGGGGGGGATTCGGCGTCAGATCTCGGAAGCTGAGCAGGGCCGACCCTGGGAAGTACTTGGATGGGAGACCTCCAAGGAATACCAAGGCTGGGAGGCAGGGGCAAGCCACCTCTCTGATATCTCCAAGCCCCACTAGGGGTCACCAGAAGTCAACTATCACTTCCAGCACACACACACATACACATGCACAATACTCACAAAAAAAGTGGACTGATCTCCAGATATGCTCCTCTCTTCCACCTTGATGTTCTTAACGCCCGTTGAGCTGACGGACAGCTCTGTTGGATGTTCGGACCGGTAGCAGAGGCCTCAATCCAGCAAGCAGACGCTCCCGATAAATGCAGGGAAAGCTCCCGCCAACCGGGTGTGATTTGTGCAGACAGCTGGGTGGCATGAAGACCCCTCTGTTCGGCATAATGTGCACGTAGGGGCTTTTGATTTGTTTAATATCTGAAGGAGGATCAGAAAAGTGCAGGGGTGGGTGAGGAGCGGCTGGTGGGCCTCCCGTTCGGAGAGCCCCTTGGGATGACACCGAAGCGTCGCCAGAGTGTCAGAGTGCTTTACGGCAGGTGTGAATCATCCGGGGCCTGGATGACAGGCAAAACAGGTGAGTCAGGATCACAGGCGCACCTTTTTCCTTCCACCGTGTTTACATGGCGGTTTACAGTCATGCACTTTGCCCACGCGGGGCAGCGTGCATGTTCGCCACCCATGACGAGAGCCAATTGTCACCCACCACGGTGGGGAAGGTCGTTAGGGAAGGCAGGAAGGGGATGTTTCATCATGCCCCATTCTGGGACTGCTAAGACTCTCAGAGGAGGGGAAGGAGGCGTGCAGGATTTCCATGAAATAAAAAAACAGAAACAATACTTAAAAAAAAAAATTAGCTGCTCCTCTCTACTTTGATTTCTAGAGTCCAAAGACACCTTAAAGACTAACAAAGTTGATTAGGACAGCAACTTTCATAAGTCAGATTCGCTTCATTAGATACACGACGAGTTCCTCTATTATGCGTATGCATTTATTTTTTAGGTTGTCTACGGGGTGTGGATGCATAGTGACCATTGCTGCCAAACCCCAGCTGGGGCCCGGAAACTCCCCCTCCCCTAGCTGGTGCTCTTGCCACGGACCAGCTGGCCTGACAGGGGACCAAGCCCGGTGTGGCAGTGGTGACATGGCGATATGACTTCTGGTACACACCGGGAGGGACGTTATTGTGCTGCCAGCAATATGGGACACTCTGGTATTTGGGGGAAAAAAACCTCTATGGTAAAAACTGCTTCTATCATAGAGCTTTTGCCCAAATACCAGAGCCTCCCACATTGCCGGTGACACGATGGCATCACTTCCAGTGCACACCGGAAGTGATGTCGCTCTGACAACTGGGTAGGCCTTCCCCTGCTGCCAGTAAGTCCCCCTATATAGGTAAAGGTAAAGGTTTCCCTTGTTCGAAAGCCAGTTGAATCCGACTCTAGAGTTGCGGTGCTCATCTCCGTTTCCAAGCCAAAGAGCCAAAGAGCCAGCGCTGTCCATGGTCATGTGGCTGGCATGACTAGACGCCGAGGCGCATGGAACGCTGTGACCTTCCCACCTATTTATCTACTTTCAATTTCTTGCTTTCGAACTGCTAGGTTGGCAGGAGCTGGGGCCAGAGACGGGAGCTCACTCCATCATGCAGCATTCGGGTCTCAAACTGCTGAACTACTGACCTTCCGATCTGCAGTTCAGCATCTTAACCCCCTATATAGATAACACTAAATACAACAGGACCACAGAGATACTAAATACACCATGGAGAGAACGAATTGCTCAAGGTCAAATACCACTGAAAGTGTTACTTAAAGGCACATGTCTCAAACATAATAAATGAGAAAATCATTCATAGAGATTAAACTATAAATATTTTAGTATGATCCACATGTACGTATTGCTGTTTAAACACAAAAGCTATGAAACAAATACACAAGTCTAAAGAAGCCTTCCCAAAGCAAGACCAGTAAATGGACTGTATGCAGTCCTTGAAAACACTGTAATCTTCTGTGCTGTTTCAAACTTTCAGGTCTGCAGGGAGGCCAAGAAACCAGGCTGACGTCTTCTGTCAGCCGAGAGAGTTCCGATTCTACTTCTTCAGAGCCAATATATTCTTACGGAACCACACAGTTTACATGTTTTGCATGCCTTATCACACTCCCACAAGGGCTTGTTACACTCCTTATGGCAAAGTGGTTCTCCAAGTATTTTCAAGGACTGCATACAGCCCATTTACTGGTCTTGCTTTGGAAAGGCTTTTTTATATATATAGATTGTTAGAGTTGGAAGGGACCTTGCAGGTCATCTAGTCCAACCCCCTGTACTCTACAGGGGCATAGCCGAAAGATAGCCCTACAACATACCCAAGAGATGGTCGTCCAGCCTCCGCTTGAAAACATCCAGCGAAGGAGCATCCACCACCTCCCGAGGCAGTCTGTTCCACTGCTCAACCACTCTTACAGTTAGGAAGTTTTTCCTGCTATTTAGCCGGTAATGACTCCCTTGTAATTTCTACCCGTTAGATATAGTCTTGCAATCCGGAGCAAGAGAGAATAGATCTGCTCCATCTTCTACATGACAGCCCTTCAAATACTTGAAGACTGCAATCATGTCCCCTCGAAGCCTTCTCTTTCCCAGGCTAAACATACCAAACTCTTTCAGACTTTCCTCATAAGACGGATTCCAACCCTCTCACCATCCTAGTTGCCCTCTTCTGGATACACTCGAGTTTGTCAACATCCTTCCTAAAATGTGGTGCCCAAAACTGGATGCAGTACTCCAGGTGAGGCCTGACCATAGCAGAATAGAGCGGAACGACCACCTCCCGTGATCTGGACACAGGGTTTCTGTTCGTGCATCCTAAGATTGCATTAGCTTACTTCACAGTCACATCGCACTGCAGGCTCATGTTTAGCTTTATACTTGTGTATTTGTTTCATAGCTTTTGTGTTTAAATCAGTATTTACATGAATCAAAGTGTTTCACAGGCCGCCGCCATACCAAAGACAAGAAATATTCTCACTCCTGAAATCTTGCAGGGCAGGAGATCCTGTGACACCAAGCCACTGAAACATCTGGATGAGTCGGCAGAACACGGCGGTTGGTTTTGAAGCGAGCAGTCCAGCGTTCCCTTTGCAAGGGTACGGCGAAAATGCCCAGCAACCGCTGTGCCTGTTGACTTAAACGTAGGCTAAATGGTTGCAGTGGACGGTGAAATTGGTCATACGAAGCCGCTTTCTTCTGCCCACCCAATTTCCTTCACAGTGGTGGCAGCTGAGGCCTCTATTTTACACCAGTCGGATATCTTCACTTTGAGCTCATGTTAGGCCCATTTTCTTTCCTCAGTGCGGGCTAATTTCCCCCCACCCCCGAACAATCAGCGGGACAAACTCTCCCCCAGTATTTTCTTCCTCATTGTTCCTCTACAATCAGAGCTATTGTGCTGGGTTTCGGCACTCCCAGGAATCCTAGTTTTCTTCAGCGTGTCGTTTTCCACCATGCGGCTTGGCCTATTTTTCCGCCGTGCTTTGGGGTGAATTTGAGCTTCGAAGGAGGTAATGAGGTTTTTCGTGGCAGGGGGGGGGGGAGGGAGGAGGGGAAGGGTATGTATGCGAGGCCGCCTGCTTCAGGTCAAGAGTGTTTTTGTTGTTGTTTATTTTCCTGGCAACCCTTGAATAACATGAATGAAAACAAACTGGCCGAAATGTCATGTCTTGGCCTGATTCTTGCTTGTATGTGTCGCCTTTTCTCATCAATAAGTTTAAAAGGCGCCTTTACCTGGATAGCCTAGGCTGGCCCAATCTCGTCAGATCTCAGAAGCTAAGTGGGGTGGGCCATGGGTAGCATTTGGATGGGAGACCTCCGAGGAATACAAGAGTTGCGATGTGGAGGCAGGCAGCGGCAAACCACCTCTGAACCTCTCTTGCCTCGAAAACGCTACAGGGTTGCGTTCGGTGGCAGCTTGACTCCACTTTACACACGCACTACCAATCAGTTTCTGCTAGTCAAGTCAAGTCAAGTGAGCCTTTATTGGCATAAATTATCAGAACCATTTATACATTTTAAAACCAGTTAAAAGCACATATATAAGAATTCTAAAAGAACCTTTGGCGCAGCTTTAAAGCCAAACAGAGAAACTTAGCCACCTTCTCTGTAATATCCGGGCAGAGATCTCTTAAAAGTCTATTCACCTTAAGAGCATCAGAGCAAACACCCATACTGGTTAAAAGAGACTGTAAATATGTGATCCTTATGTCTATGTACAGGTTACAATGCAGGAGAACATGAGTGATAGATTCCACACATTTCTTTCTGCATGGGCAGCATCTGGCCAGCTGAGAAACCTTATTGAATCTGCCAAATAAGATGGCGGACGGCATGGCGTTGCATCTTGCCAGGGTGAGTTTCTGCTAGTCTCTATGGTAGACCATTGAGTCTGCATGGTATACTATAGGAGAAATGGAAGTCCCACGGCTCCCATTCTCTGTAGCTACTCTCGGGCTTCCTGTTTATCTTAGGTTCTACGTTTTCTCCAGAGGAACTCATCTCTGTAGTCTGGAGATTCGTGTTAATTCTGGGAGCGTCCAAGGCCCCACCTGGAAGGGGACCACCCTCGTGTTGCCTCAGTTCCTTGGTGGTCTCCCATTCAGGTACCAAC